TGTTTTTCCTTCTGTCAAAAACAAATAAAAATTTGGATGGTGAACACAACATGACAAAACATTATTGAATATTTTAAGAGAGTATTATCAGTAACAATTTTGTTTGTTATATTAGAAGAATCTATTTGATCATGCGATATCCATGTACTGGCTTTCCATTATGTTTAAACACATTTGAAAATGGTCATGTTCTTCGTGCTCATCTAATCGGATGTAAATGTGCACAGGAAAAATTACAAAAAGAAACTGGTATTCGTCAAGAAAAGCATTCGATTAAATTTGATTATAATGTTAACGGTATTAAAACGAATAAATATTATCCGACATCTGCCACATTAGATCATTCAAATAAATTTTGTATTAAAGATCAATTACACCTGCTGGCAATAATAAAATAACACAAAACAAATTCAAAAAGGATAGAAAAATGAACAAAGTATAAAAGGATATTCGAGATGTTCTTTCTCTATGTATCTTGAAACATTTTGGTATGCTGCAACAGAGGTAAGTGAGAAACTAACGCTTCAAGTGGTTCGAGGGATATATCAAGGTCAGTATCTAAATTTTTGTTTGATATTGTATGTAGTATTCTTAAACCTTTGGCATATTCTGAGCACACAAGGTTTAAATAGAGGTGTTCTGCATTGAATGAGTAAAAACGATCGCTTTGACTAGATAGAACAAAATATTTCTTAGTGTATTGTAGAAGATTATAGGATTCCAAAGTCGTTTATTGGCTAAATTTAGCGTTTTCCATAAAAAAATTGCTGTATTTAGCTCGTGTGTTGTGAAGTAACCATAGGCTGCTTTTAGAGCGTGATAGCGTGAATCTAACAAGTAATAATAGTTCTGATAAATAGAAAAAGAACGGCTGGATAGAAAACGTGACTTGAGAATAGCAAATAGATATCAGTAGAATAAGACAATGTATTGCATTGTGCTCTACAATTAATCATTTTTTATTATGGTCTGGCGTTCATATTATCTGTCACTTAATTCAAAATTAGAATAACTTTACTTTTTATTTCAGTTTTTATCGTTTATTCATCTTTCTCCTTATATTTTCAATGAGTGCAGGTAAAAGCGATCACAAAGATGAGGTTGGGTATGTTTTGAAAGAATTAAAAGAAGGTTTACCACATGGTGATATATTTGATGTTAAATATGGCGATGCCAGTGTTGATAATTGCCTCGAATTAACAAAAGATGAGTCAAAATCAAAACCGGTAATTGAAGTTGATAATAGGAGATTAAAAGCGAAAAATCAATATCTGACATTGGTATGTTGTATATGATAATTCATACGAAAAACTATTATTTACTCTTTTCTTATTCGAAGATAATGACCGATCCGGATGCGCCTTCTCCCACTAATCATACTCGTGCCCCATATCTTCATTACATTGTTACTAATGCACGAAAAATGGATTTTAGCGATGGAACAGCCATATGTAAGTTCTAATTAATAAATAAGACAATTCTAACTATTTATCTCTTTCTCTTTAAAGGCAACTATATGGGTCCAAATCCTCCCAGTGGTTCAGGACCACATCGTTATATTTTCTTATTATATATTTCAAATGACATGGTTGAGCATGATAACATAGATGATAGCCAACGTGTACAATATCCTATACATGAATTTGTTCGAACATATAATCTCGGTCTTGAAGCGGCAAAATATTTTATAACATCAGGTTAAATGGATTTCGGGCGTTGGTGATTCATTTCTGATTTTAAATTAGAACGTTTACAGATCAATCGTTCATTTTTTTCTTTTCGTCTGTAATCAAGCTTGGTGAAAGAAGAGGAGTACTGTTTGATCTCATTTTATAGGATGATTTATTGTACACGTGTGTATTCTTTAATTTATTGTTGTTGGATTTTTTTTTCTCGAAAAGAATAGATAAAGAACAGTATCGTAAACTGGATAAAATGACGAAATTTTTATTTACGTAAGGAAAAAAACTAGACATGTATATCCATCTCATATTGAGTTTAGCCTTTTGTTAGTTTTATATGACGAGATTTTTTATTTAAATAAATCAAACTTTATTTTTCAACGAATTTAAACTTCATTTTTCTAAGACTCAAAAAAAAATAGCAATACTAACTACGTGAAAGGGTATAACAACAATAATTTATAATAATACCACTTCAATACGACAAAGCCATTTCATTAAAAGAAAAGTAGACAGTACTTAATACATGTGCTCAATGAGTATAGAAGAAAAAGAGAAGAAAACGTGTGAAAAAACAAGATATGAGACAAAGGCAAGGAATGGATATAATCATTTTTATACATTTATTTGCTAACATTTTTTGTCATTATATAGTACATGAACGGTTTCTTAAGTGTAGTTTATGTGACTTCAAAGTATGGTAATAATGCATAAATTGTTGTACAAATAGAACGTCGTTTAGAAAGTTCTACAAAACCTATCTGTAATGTAGGCGACTATATTCGTTAATGTGAATCTTCATGTGATACTTGGCTAAAAGAGAAAGAAATTTATGTATTAATAGCTAGAGACTAGTACTCTAGATAAACAAATAGTCTTATCTAATATATAATTATGTTAACTAAAGGTAACAAAATGTTAGTCTCAATAGTGAGAGTTGGTGAGAAAACAATATTCCAGACCTTCACTTTACAGTATGGAATTGATTTGAACTATTGTAATTATTGTGGTGAAATTCAAAGTCGAAGAAGTCATTAGGTGGTAAACAATATTAAACATTACTTTACTACGAGTATTTGTGTACGTTCGTAAATTTCCATTGAGAAATTTTGCACTAATCCTATTCGTGGCCTCTTTATATACCGAGTTTTAGTTCCTGACCACTGTTTCAACTGATAAGGGAGTGCTCCTACTGAGACAAGGTTGATATACTTTATTTTGTGAATTGTGCTATGATGATTACGAATCTGAAAATCGTAGATGCCACCATTGCTATATTGAAAAGTAACAGCCGTATGGATGTTTTATTCTTATAGCTCTCTCAAAATAGAGTTATTTAATAATCATAACTTTCGGACATATTCTCATTCAAGAGCCGCATATCATTCTGTAACACCACGTAAAACTGCTACCACTGAGGACAGACTTTAGTCTCACCCCTGAAGGCTTTTTTGATGAGGGCTCCAGACCTAAGGTTATCTTCATCTTTTACTTACCAGCAAACCGTAATATTTCGAATGCTGGTGAAACATGTTAGAGAATGAAACATGTTGAAACAACTTAATAGATCGTTAAAAATAACACTTCACATCATTCTGATTGATCAATATAAGTAGATAAATAAATTGAACAGAGTCGTTTATTATTTAATAAACGATTGTCACGCACACCCAAAGTGTTCGTGACAAAAAACAGAAACCATCATCTTTTTTCTTGTAGTCTTTTTCTCTTCGTTAAGTGAACGATTGACGTCAGACAGAATATTGCAGCAGAAATATTAGAGTATGGTGTCGCATGGGAACCGAAACCGGTGATGTGATGGTATTCTTACTTGGTGTCTCTCAAAACTGCTACGTAAATATATTTCATATCACTTTCTAGAATTCTAAACTTTGACAATTGCAACGGTGTAAAATCCTTTTCATTTCTTCTTTTTCTGCTCTCAATATAATTCTTAGATGTCAGTATTACTTAATTCATTTGAAACAGTTTTTCCGAATACCACAATCACAGCTGATCATGTATTATTTAAACAGAAATCACTCTTGTCTGTTGAAACGGATAAATCATCTAATCTCTACTTTAGTGGGTTAACGTTCATTAAAGATACAAAACGTTCTGCAAACTCTACAAAATGGTTAGTAATTCCTTTCTAATCGATACTGCGAACATCGACATTTCTGGATATTACTGTTAAAAGCGGTCTTTCCAGCACAGCCAATGATAGTGTGTCTATTGCTTTTACCATGAGAGAACCTAGATTGCGATCAACATTATATATCAAAAGAAAGTGCTTTCTCTACAAAATGGCTGGTAATTCATTTCTAGCTGAAAGTGCGAGCACTCATTTTTTCCGATATTACTACTGCAAAGTGATGTTTTCGGCATCGACGGATAGGCTCGACCCATCTAAAACCTACCACCATTTACATCGACCTTTGACGTTAGTGACCACACCTGTCTCATATTATAGAGCTCAGCAAGCTGAACCGAATGGTGAAAACCACAAACTTCTAGCCGTTACAAAAAAGTTATGGAAAAAAAGTAGGTATCTACTCCAATATAACAGCCAAATGAGTTTTCAGAGAACTTTCTGAACTACCATGACTTTCTGGCTTTCTGTTCGGGCCATGGTAGTCCGAGATAATGTATGTAAAATAAAGTAAAAATGGTTAAAAGGCTGCTATTATCCATAGTCGGTATCTTCTTGAAACAGACCTATTGATAATCAGTGAACAATAACTACTCATCCATTACCGTTATATTTATCATTGTACAACTAAACATTCATGTCTATATAATGCATTCACTAGTTCAGCTAGATCAAACTTGATGTTTTCTGGCGGATTGGAAAATTTTCCGCATTTTCTGGCGGATTTGGCTAACTTGTAGAACGTCTGCTGACCAGCAGGAACAACTGATCATCCAAATGGAATATATCAATATCTCCATTAAATGGTAAAAAACAGACGAATGTGGATAAAACTTATATGAAAAGTTTTCGGAAGAGCAGCAGATATAATCTTGTTTAGATCCATCGAAAAAACAAAATTTTATTGAGAATTTATCAAGCAGTGACGAAAATATTGAACATAAAATATCATGTGAGATTGTAACCAGAGTAACTGAGTTTACAACTAACTCTTTATCGTGAGAGCATATCCTGCAGAGCATAGAATCGAACTGAGTATACAAGGAAAATATGAGGTTTTATTCGAATATGTTTGCGATACTTCTGAAGAACACAAGGTCAAAACTGGGTTCCTTCTGCCTGCGTTTGATCTAGCGAAATTCTCTGCACACTAGCTCAACAGCATGAGTGAGTGATTTGACAGTAGTTTACGACGTTAATTACAATCGTCGTCTTACTTTTGGCAAAATCGTATCCATCGACGAAAAACTCCCGAAATACCCCATCGTTCGATAACATAGTGCCAAAAATAGATCTCAACTTCTAGCTGCGGGTCAAACTTTCTATTTGCAGAAAATGATTGTCACTGAGCCTAGATCACTCTGGAATAGCATATCTCAAGTGAGCCCGCTGGCTTTGCCTGGGCGCTATTAGGTTATGTAGGATGGTTGAGTAGAGTGATTAGTAAAATAAAAAGTTGCCCTGTGCTTTATACGCAGAATTCGGTTATTCTTCATTTATTTTACAATATTCACTTTCCGCAGAAATATCTTATGGAAAAATTGCGAACGACTGTTCAATTTTGTTCGATGATAGAATTTTGATCTTGTGTTCTTTAGAAGTATCGCAAATATATTGGAATAAAACCAGACGTGCGCGATTACAATTACAAAATGTAAAGTTCAAACAATGCTATTATCTGTAGAATTAAGAACTAGAATTCTGAACTTTACATGAAAAGTTGAACTTTACTTGTTCAGAATTGTAAAACTCTTAATTCTAGGGGTAAGTGTGGGGGTGAGCGTGAATATACAACTTTACATGTATAGAAAGTTCAGAATTCTAGAATTCTGAATTCTACAGATAATAGCAATGTATGAACTTTACATTTTGTAATTGTAATCGCGCAGCCCTCAATAAAAGCTCATATTTTTCTTGTATACTTAGTTCGTTGAGCGCTGCAACGTTTGTGAAAACCAGCGAACCTTGAATTCGAGGTAAGTTTTCTACCGGTACAACATAATGATCTTTGTCGTGCCAGTCAATAACGGGAAATGCCCGTGGATCATCGGGTCTCGGTTGACGAACATAAAGTTTGATTTCTGGTTGATCAATAATAGGTAGAGCGCAGAGGTTGAGTGTAACATCACCAATTCGACCACCGCCTGTGATTTTAGCCATAAAATTAAACATGACCATACCACTTAGATTCGAATCGGTAATACTTTTGTGTTCGACAGAGCCATATATGTTGACTACCGAGAGAACAAAGGATAAAAGAATGAAAACCTTCCTTCCGTAGTTGCAAACTGCTTTTTAGTTTCAAAATATGCTTTTCTCTGAGATTACCGAATGCACTGATTCTGAATCTAACGAAAGAACCTCACCAGATGCCGCTTTACGTTTTGCCCGAAATCTATCGGATTATATGCAATCGAGGATACCAATTACGAATATATGATACTTGCTTATCCATACCGTATGAGGTCTGAGGTCTAATTTTGACTTTGACAGCGCACGGTTTTTAGGTATCTTTTCTATCAGGATATGGTTTACAGCAAATCGTTTGGTGTAACCTTTAGGTTGAGCGCATCTCTGGCTTCTAAGTTATAAAGAACAAAAAATTTCATCGAGTATCTTCGGTGTCTACGTATTATAATACAGGAGGAACTTTTCCTTTTTTCCCAAAAAGGTGCAAAAAGTCGGTAAAAGACCATACTAGCATATCAGGCATCAGTAATTCGAAGTTTTTCCAAGAACGATCTTCAGTTCAAAACGCACATCAATGGATGCAGAATAAGCTGCTGATCACGAATATGATCTTGTTTTTTCATTTTGACGGGGTTTTTCGAAAAACTATACTTGCTTACTATACCAAAAATGTACTTGTACTTCAAAAATAGAAGGAACTTAGTAACACTGTTTACTTTCGACAGATAGTAGCATCGGACTACCCACCGGATCTTTTTTTCTCTATTCATAGCGTTGTACGGCTATACAACTTCGAGGGGAAACTTCGAATCCCTAAGAACGATTTTCAGTTCGAAAGGCACATCAATGGATGCTGATATGAGATAAATCTATAGCGTTGTAATACCACAATTTAAGAGAAAACATGTTTTATAGCCTTATAACGCTTTAAATAGAGACTAAAAGATCCTATGGGTAGTCCGATGCTATACAAGTACATTTTTGAAGTATAAGTACATTTTTACAAAACACAACATTCTTCTGTATATTTGTCAAAAATATTGATGATCAATTCTGAAACAACATTGTGTATTGCAGGACAGAAAATTCTAATAATATTTTTCTGAATCAGCGTCGCCCAAAGTGAACGAAAGTAGCATGAAATAGGTAAGAATAAAAGACTAAGGCATAGAGACATCCTTTATCCTCACAGAGGCTATAGCAAAATTCCACAAACACTACCTATGCTGAACAAGGTCTACGAATTACCCCCAAATACCCAAATTCATTTCCATTGAGAAAGGTGAGTATGTATTTTAACGTCGATCGTCTTCAAACGGGACTGGACAATTTAGAGAAGAGCATAATCATGCACAAGAAGAGTTTCGATTAAGCCACGAATCATTTAAACAAGAACCGTGAACATGCTTTTTCGCAAATATTTACTACTTGTTTGCCTGGCGGCACTATCAACACGGAGTTCACTGACGACGGAGTAGGTGGTTTTATCTCATTCATTGGACTTAGAGCTTGGAAAGCTGAAATTTTTGGTACCTGAGTGACCATTTTTATGGCTACGCGTGATAGACAAACCTACTTATGGCTTCTTTTCAGGTGGTAGTAATATTGTTTGACGGAGTTTACTATCTCGGAAGTTTTATATCGATATATACTAACTGGAACGTATCATTAAATACTAGACAAAATTCTACGTCTTTTAAGCCTAGAACAAAATTTCAAAACTTGGTTGAGAAATCAACACTTTCCACCATGAATTTAACGCTAAAGGACCGTTGCTGTTTAGCAATAAGATCAGATATGTTATCACCAACTGAAGTTGAATGATCTGAAATTCATCTGAATATTATATTACCGTTTCTTTCAACTAATAAATAGCAATATCTTCCTTTATCTTGAAATAATGGACTTGTTTATGTATTGGAGCCTATGGTTTTTACCGTTGATTGATTATCAGTGAATATTGCAGTTTCTCTTGATAATTTATTTGTTATAGTTGTTAGTGACAATTATATTAATTATTACCACATCATTATTCTGGTCCAGGTTAGCAGTGTGTTTGTGTTGTCTATTGTTAGGAAGTATAAACCAAATTTCATATCAGCAATGGTCATCTTTCAAATATACATGTTCTCTTCACTCGATGGTTATTTTCCCTTTCTGTTCTTTTGTTATATGTATTCACTGTCCTGCTTTTCTATGATGTATTATTTTCTCTTTCTGTTTACTCTTTCCCATGGGTATTTTTCATTTCTATTCTTCTCTCTCTCTCTCTCTCTCTCTTGTACAATAGCTGTTTTTCCCAGTTTCCCAAAAAGGATCTTCCTGTAGCTAAAATATACTATATATAGTTGTGAATTTACTGAAATAAAGTATGTGTAACAGTTACATTCTTCTTTGGCTATTAACCATTGGATGTAAAACGATTCTGGAAGGAATAACCTAACATTGGTGCACTAGCCGATTGTTTGTCAAACCAACACCACAAACAAGTTAAGAACCCCTCAAACGATATTAGTTATGGCATTAGCACTCGAATTAGAACCATTTAATGGCAGCGGCGATCAAAACA